CACCGCAAAATTCACATTTTATCGGCTGCTGCTTTGCATAAAATCTGTCGATATCCATTGGTTTGGCGCACGTAGGGGGGTGCCGATCGCTCCGTGCCGAATGTACGGTTCAGCGTGTAGCATTGTGTTTCGGGTTGACCGCGATCAAAGCGTCGTACCGTTCGGCTGCACGAACGATGTCGCGGTAGCTATTGTAGTTCGCTGCGATAACCTGCCGGCGAATCTCCATTTTTAACTCTTCTGTATACGCCTTGATGTTTTCGCCCTCGGTCAGGTCGGTAATGCGGTTGAAAAGTTGCTTCATCTGCTGCGTGTACAGTGCTACACTCTCGAGCTGCTTGTGTCAGTGAAGCTGCTGCCGCGCCATGTACACCGAATTAATTGGCTCGAAACGTTCGATGAGGTCTTCCCGAAACTGTGCCCACATTTTCTCCCCGCAGGCCATGCCACTGTAGTAAATCCATTCGAGTGTTGGTCTCCGCAAAAGTGTTGATGCGAGCTGAATTCGTGCTGCGTCGTGTGTCGGGGTCGAACAGCCAATGGCCTCGAAATAAATTTCGAGGGTCGCCACGAATCGTCGAACATCCAATCCCTTCTCTCTTGGATCGAACGCTTCGGGGAGCCTCGGGCGAGCTGCTTCGAGGTTCGGCGAAGGTGGTGCCATCGGTCCGTGACATGTCGCTGTCGCCGTTGCTGCCGCTGCTACGTTCGCTGCTGCATTTACTGTTGCGGTGGTGGCTACCGATTGGTTTGTCAGGAGGGCTTCGATTCGCCAAATCGCCGCCTGCGTCTGCTCCACGTTGGTGCGAAGGCTGGCGATGTCGCTTATCGTCACGTAATAGTCGCCTTGGCCCTCCATCCCTGGCATTGCGCGTTTCGAAAAACCAAAATCGAGGGGGAGTGAAAAACACGGAACCGGTTTTACGTACCTGAAATCTGTGTTTAACAGTCGTCGCCCCTGTGGTTTTTGAAGATTCGGTTTTAGTGGTCGAAAAAAACCACGCGTGTAAACAGGCTCTGATTACCAAGTGTGAGGATCTAGGATCAAGCTCAGAAAAGTGGGTACAAGGCCAGGCACAAGGTAGGTAACCCAGGTGTTGCGTTAATGTTCTGAGGGTCGCGAAGCGTCCCGAACAAAATCTTCCCGAACTCGTTAGAAAGAGATTCGGTGGCAACCGAAAAGGCTTGAGTTCGGTACACGTAACCCAGTCCGGTGCTATAACTATAATAACATATAGGAATGCACCTAACCTAGGAAATCAAGCATATCTATGCATGATAAATAAAACCCAAGCTAGAAAAAAGCATAATAAAGGCAAGCTAGCAAAGCCAGCATAAGCCATCGTACTCTCACACTGGACAAGTCCAACCAGCACGGGGTGACAGGGGATAACAATAGGATGAAGCAGCTACTAACTAGCTTTCAGGTCAAGGATGTCTTCCAGGAGCTGAGCCCGGACGATAAGGAGTTCATTTTCTTTTGCAGATCGGCAAGAGTCAGCTTGAGGATTGACAGGATACTCGTGTCGCAGGCAATGATGCATCAAGTGGCTAAGGTGTCTCACCAATGGCTGGGACGGTATTACAGACCATAAGTTTGGGGTCCGGAGGAGGCTCGTCTTGAATGGTCAGCGAGAGACCGGTCCTGGGATATGGAGGTTTCCGGCGAGGCTGGCTAAGTGGCCAGGGGTGATGTCGGCGATCGCGGAGGTGGTACAAAGCCACGAAGATGGAGGAAGCGGCGACTTTGATAAGCTATCAAGGAGGCTGGCAGCTCGCCTGCGGAAATATGACAAGGAGGAGAAGAAGAGGGTTAGGAAGGTGCTGGAGAAACAAGTGGGGTCGTTGCAACAGAGGGTGATGGCGTATCCGGGTGATGATAACTTACATGCGCAGCTAACGAGTCAGCAAGCGTTGTTGCGAAGGTATTGGGATGGCCGGAGGAGTTTCATGGAACTGAGAACAGGGCTCAAATTGCACTTGTGTGGGGAGGCGCCAACAGGTTTTGTGTCAACCCTTGGTGGATGGCGTCAGTCACACGGACGCAAGAGCTATCCTGGAGACAGCAGAACGACATTTCAGAGAGGCCTTCGACGAGACCCCCGACTTGGCGAGTGCAGAGCCTGAGCTGCAGTGGACGCCAAGGAAGGTTCTGGAAGAGGCATGTGCAGAGGAGGTAGCAAAAGACTTGACGGAGGAAGAGGTGAGAAAGGCGATTAAGGAGTTGGCGAACGACAAGTCTCATGGGAGGGACGTCATTCCAAAGGAGTTGTTTCGTAGCCATTAAGAGACCAGTGCTGAAGATGGTGAGAGAGTTTGTGGCTACCGGCAAGACGCTGGAAGTGGCGAATGAGGCAGTCACCGTGCTGCTGCACAAGAAGAGAGCAGAGACTGATGTCAGGAACTATAGGCCTATTAAGTTGCTAACAAGCATCTACAAGATATTAGCAAAAGTGGTGGCATCAAGAATGAAAGAAGTTCTGCACCAGGTCATTTCAGGTGAGCAGTACGGCTTCTTACTTGGGAGGCGGCTCACGAATTCGGTGTCAATGGTGGCGGAGTTGATTAATGCGGCAAAGAATGAGAACAAGTACTGGTATCTTATGATGATCGACTTCAAGAAGGCGTACGACCCCGTATGCAGGGGGTACGTGATGAAGACGATAGCACGTTTGCGCTTCCAGCCGCGCTTCATAAACCAGATTGAGGCCCTGCACAGTGACGTCCATACACGGCTTTGCATCAACGGGTGGACGGGGGAGCAAATCCAGATGCGACGGGGGTGAGGTAGGGTTGCCCACTGGCACCTTACCTTTTCTTGTGCACAGTGGAGCTGATGAGTAGGCCGGCGGAAGAGAGGCAGCTGGGCATCGGGGCAAGAGGGCGTGAATGGTTGGCATACGTGGGGTATGCAGATGATATGACACTGTTGTTGAAAGAGGAGCAGCAACCGAAGGAATCAGATGAGATGCTGCAGGAGTACGCAGCGGAGTCAGGTTTGATGGTCGACATCGGGAAGTCAGGGGTCCAGCCGTTGGGAAAAAACGTTAACAAGCAAGCATCGGACGGGTTTAACTAAAAGTGAGTTGGCAAAGACGATGCAAAAAGGCTACTCGATGTATGGGTGAACCCAGAGGGAGTGCAGGGGCCACCTGGGAGTAGACATTTGATAGGACAGCAGGTGTGCTGAGCAGGTGGCAATCCAAGTATTTCACGACAGGGGCGAGGGTGGCCATTATCAATAGTTACGTGTTGCCGAGTTTCCTCTCCCAGGCGCAAGTGTACCCTCCAGATAATCTGCTGTGGAAACGGGTGGAGGTTCTGTTGGAGAACTCTGTGTCGGCCAACCAAGTGGATACGGAGAAGCATTTCCGGCTTTGGAGTGATGGGTTGATGTACGCGCCGAGAGAGTAGGGAGGCCTAGGCATGGTGGACTGAGGGGTAGGATCGACAGTAGTGCGCTCAGGTGTGTGGGGCTAGCGCTGTTGCAGGGGTGTCCGCTCCAACGATGCCTCAGAAGACACGTTGCCAATCCATCCTAGTGCCATGCCAGGTCCTGTCGGTTTTTCTTGTGTGCCCTTGGGTGCTGTCATGTGTCCTGTATCCTTGTGTGTCCTTCTGTGCCTTTGTGTCTCATGTGAGTTTTGTTTCTCTCTACCATGGACCAGTGTCCTCTTACTCTACGCAAGCATACACTTGTCATACCATGCCATGTCATGCCGTGTGAACTGGTGACATGGCAATGGCATGTTATGCCATTCTGTTTCCTTCAATGTCCATCTGTTTCTTTCTGCGTCCTTTTGTTTTCTTTAGTGTCCTTTTGTTTGCTTTTGTTTCCTATTGTTTCCTTCTGTGTCCTTCTGTGCCTTTCTGTTTCCTTTTGTTCCTTCTTTGTCCTTCTGTTTCCTTCTGTTTCCTCCTGTTTCCTTCTGCATCATTCTGTTTCCTTCAGTTTCCTTTTGCATCCTTCTGTGTCATGTTTCCTTCTGTTCCTTTCTGTTTATTTCTCTCTGTGTCCTACTATTTCCTTCTATATCCTTCTGTTTCCTTCTGTTTCCTTCTATTTCCTGTTGTGTCCTTTTGTGACCTGTGTTTCTTCTGTTTCCTTCTGCATCCTTCTGTTTCCTTCTGCGCCCTTCTGTGTCCTTATATATCCTTCTGTGTCCTTCTTTCTCCTCCTATTTCTTTCTGTGTCCTGTGTCCTTCTGTGTCCTTCGGCATCCTCCTGCATCCGTCTGCATCTGTGCCCTTTTGTGTCGTTCTGTGCCCTCCTGGTTCCTTCTGTGTCCTTATGTGCCCTTCTGTGCCCTGTGCCCTTCGGTGCCCTTGTGTGCCCTTCTGTGTGCTTGTATGTCCTTCTGTGCCCTTGCGTGTCCTTCAGTGCCCTTATGTGTCATTGGGTGCGCTTGTGAGTGCTTCTATGCCCTTCTGTGTCCTTCTGTGCCCTTATGTGCCCTTCCGTATCCTTCTGTGTCCTTCTATGCCCTTCTAAGTCCTTCTGTGCCCTTATGTGCCCTTCTGTATCCTTCTGTGTCCTTCTGTGTCCTTCTGTGTCCTTCTGTGTCCATCTGTGTCCTTCTGCATCCTTCTGCGTCCTTCTGCGTCCTTCTGTGCCCTTCTGTGTCCTTCTGTGTCTTTCTGTGTCCTTGTGTGTCTTTCTGTCCTTTTGTGTCCTTTTCTGTCTTTTTGTGCTATGTGTGTGTTCTGTTTCTCTCTACCATGCGCCAACCACTTTGGACTCTACGCTGACATAAAAGTCATTCCATGCCATTCCCTGTCATATCATGCCATATCATGCCATACCATGCCATGTCATATCATGTCTCTTGTGACATGAAGGCATGACGTTTGATGGCATCCAATGGCTGATTTACCCATGCCATTGGTGCCCATGATCCCATGCCAGTGGTGCCCATGAATTCATGCTAAAGCCTTTAATTGCACCCTCCCCAATCCCCCCATGCAGCTATGCGAGTAACTGCCTGCCGTTTTGGGGCACCTCAAGGATATCCCCTGCCCCGTGTCAAGTGATCTGGCATGCCGTACCATGTGATGTGATATGCCAAGCCGTACCATGCCATGTGATATGCCATGCCGTAACATGTCATGTGATATGCTATGCCATACCATGCCATGTCATATGCCATGCCATACCACGCCATGTGATATCCGATGCCATACCATGCCGTGTGATATGCCATGCTGTACCATGCCATGAGATATGCTATGCCGTACCATGCCATGTGATATGCCATGTCGTACCATGCCATGTGATATGCCATGCCATACCATGCCATGTGGTATGCCATGCCGTACCATGCCATGTGATATGCTATGCCATACCATGCCATGTCATATGCCATGCCATACCACGCCATGTGATATCTGATGCCATACCATGCCATGTGATATGCCATGCTGTACCATGCCATGTCATATGCCATGCCGTACCATGCCATATGATATGCCATGCCGTACCATGCCATGTGATATGCCATGTCGCACCATGCCATGTGATATGTCATGCCATACCATGCCATGTGATATGCCATGCCGTACCATGCCATGTGATATGACAGGTCATAACCACTTGTTATAGTCACAGTAGGCTTCAATGTGCCTAAAACGAAAGATAGAGTGCACAGTCAGATTTCTGCACAGCGGCTTCAAACGTTCATAGCGATCTGGTCACAGCTCCAAATGACCTCATTCAACTTGGATCTGGAGCCTAACGTTGCCTACAAATGGCAACATAGACGCACGATTTCATTGAGAATTGACGACACTTCATCAGTTTGAACGAACAGCACTATGGCAGCAACATAGTCTTAGAACACACAATTAGGAAGAACTAGGAAGAGTTACGAGTTGGGAATGACTCCCAGCTCCTACAAACCCCAAGAGCCAAGGTACAGTGATGTGGAACAGTGCCACACTATCCCCAACCAAGAAGGGTCTCAAAACTACCCTCCACTAGGGCCTACACCAAAGGGAATGTTACACTACACAAAGTAATGTAACTATCTTCAATATCTTGAGGTGTACCCTTTTGGCGAGCTTCGAAATCACTTGAAGCTTGAACCAAGGCTCGGGTTCTTCATCACAAACTCATCCTTGAGTTCTTGATGGGTCTTCTGCACACACCTGCGACACGCCGAACGTTCGACAAGCGACAAAATAGAAACCGCGCACGACAAAATAGAAACCGCGCGGGACACACAAAATGACCGCGTAACACGCGACTAGCGATAACTCGCTATTGACTCGGCACACACACATGACATCAAGACCCATCATAATTATTATAAGCATGAAATATATATTATTTCATGCCCTCATTCCATTCCATGCACACACGCATGCACGCACACGGACAACAAGCCGAGTGCAAACCGTAAGGTTGCACCAACAATACCATGCCATGTGATATGCCATGTCGTACCATGCCATGTGATATGCCATGCCATACCATGCCATGTGATATGCTATGCCGTACCATGCCATGTGATATGCCATGCCGTACCGTGCCATGTGATATGCCATGTTGTAACATGCCATGTGATATGATAGGCCATACCATGCCATGTGATATGCCATGCCGTACCATGCCATGTGATATGTCATGCCATACTATGCCATGTGATGCGCCATGTCGTACCATGCCATGTGATATGCCATTCCATACCATGCCATGTGATATGCCATGCCGGACTATGCCATGTGATATGCCATGCCGTACCGTGCCATGTGATATGCCATGCCGTACCATGCCATGTGATATGACAGGCCATACCATGCCATGTGATATGCCATGCTGTACCGTGCCATGTCATATGCCATGCCGTACCATGCCATGTGATATGTTAGGCCGTACCATGCCATGTGATATGCCATGCCGTAGCATGCCATGTGATAAGCCATGCCCTACCATGCTATGTGATATGCCATGCCGCGCCACGTCTTCTGATACGTGTTGCCATGCCATGCTCATTGAGATTCGTGAACCCTAGTCCCTCCACGCAGCTATGCAGGTAACTTCCTCGACCGTGAACCAAACCAGGCCTGCCCTGCCAATGCATCTTCCCCTTCCGCATCCCTCTGTGCTCTTTTGTGCCCATGATTCCATCCCCCATGCAGGTATGCCGGTAACTGTCTCGACCATGCACCAAACCAGACGCGCCCCACCAAAACCTCCTCCCCTGCAACTACTCTCTCTTCTTCTCCCTCCTCTGCCCCCTCCTCTGCTCTCTCTTCTTCTCCCTCTGCTCCTCGTTCTACTCCACCATCTGTTCAATCTGCTCATCTTTTTTACCTCTTCTCTGCTCCCTCTTCTTCTCCCTCCTCTTCGCCCCCGCCTTCCCCTCTTGCAGCCTCCTCCTCTGCCCCCTCTACTGCCCCCTCCTTTGCTCCCCCCTCTACTGCTCCCCCATCAAGCAGCCTTGCTCCTGCCTCCTCCTCTTCTCCTGCCTCCTCCCCTGCCTCGGACTCTTTCCCTGTTTCCTCCTCTTCGCCCTCACCCGCCCCCACTTCCCTTCCCGGTCCCCCTCCTTCGTCTACGTCAGCACCGTCCATATCAGCACCAGTGCCTACATCTTAGCCATAGCAGCAGCAGCAGCAGCAGCAGCAGCAGCAGCAGCCACCGCTGCAGCAGCAGGGAACTCCACAGGGTCTAACAAAGCAGCGTTAAGCAATGGCTGCATGCTTTGCTCTTGTGCTGATTGTGTTACCATGGTAACCGCGTGCTCCTGCTGCAGCAGCAACAGTGAATCCACCGTCTCGAAGTAAATTCATGTTATTTATGCATGTGTTGTTGTGTCCTTTGCTGCTATGCTGCTTGTGTTACCATGGTAACCATGTTTTCCTACTGCAGCAGTAGTGGTCTCATTGGAACTAACCAGGCAATGCTAAAAGGCCTTGTTCTTTCAGGCTAATCATGCACCATGCGTGCTCTTGCTGTATCAGCTAGGAAGAGCATTGTAGCCAACCCTAAACCCTATGAAATTCCGTTGGTTGTTGGAGTGTCTATAATCTTACCTAGTTTTATATGTGCATCTGTGTTCAAAGTCTGGTTTGCAAATGTTGGCTTGGTGTTACGGGTGCAATGGAACGAGATAGCGAGGATTGCACTAGGTGTCAAACGAGTACAAAGTATGAGCGAAGGCATGAGCGGACACTTATACGCGAAACATGCAAACGGTAACGCGGTGCGTGCGAGCTAGCTAGTGCTATGCTGGCATTGAGGTTCGGGCTAGTCCTGAAGGATAGGCTGACTCGGCTGAGCCAGCAGTGCATGGTGACACAGAGCGCGCAATGTTGGCGAAGCCCCGTTAGCAGTAGCGGGCGAGCAACGGCTGCTGCTGTACAGGATGTTGGCTATCGCGGTTAGGAATTTCGAGAAAATTTATTACACTACCCCCCCCCCCCCCCCCCCCCCCCCCCCTCAAGAAGCCCCCTCCGCTACACGAGTGCATGTATATCGTGGAAACCTCGGCTCCTCAGGCACAATTGCAGGGCATGGTGTTTCCCGATGTGGCCAGGGGCACCCAGCTGTCTTCAGTTGACGTGCGGTTCTTCCAGCGAATGAGGATCTCGATCCTCCTAATGCCGGTGGTGTGTCGAATCCGATGGCTCATAATCTTCTCGGGCTCGATGATCGGCTCCGATGCAGGGCGAGTCATGGATGGCGGGCAGTGACAAGGCAGTTGGCTTGTGATTTGGAAATAAAGGCAAAGTAGGCTGACGTGGAACAATGGGCTGATGCACCATTCTGTCGGCAACAAAAGATGGGGGGTGACTTGGGTAATCCTCCTGACTGGGCAGTAGTGGCGGTCAGCGTTTCTCTAAGCAATGACGTTGGCTTTTTTTAGTGCTTCTGCAGCTCTGGTTCAGGCAGCTTGCAAAATCTCGACAAACTGTTGTGCGTGCGGTGTTGGGTTGTCCGGACTTGGCATCATGTGCACTGGTGGATTTTGCTCGTTGTCCAGGTAAAACGGGGACTGCTGCGTCGTCGCTGACGTGGCGTTGTTGTACGCGAACTCGATCAGCGGCAGCTGCTGCTCCCATGTTGTCGGATCGTCGCACGTAGCACAAATCAACTGCTCCATCGTCTGATTCGTCCGCTCCGTTCGGCCGTCGGTGTCGGGGTGGTACAACAAACTGAACTGTAGCCGGGTCCCGAATTGCTCCCGAAGGTTCTTCCATAAGTTGCTGGTGAACTTTGTGTCTCTGTGGTTGAGTATCATGGCTAGTGTCCCGTGCAGTCGAAGGACGGTCGCGATGAACAGGCGAGCGGTTTCTTCGGCTGAGATTGATTTCTTGCATGCAGCGAAGTGAGCATTTTTGTCAGTCTGTCAACGATGACCATAACCACGTCGTTACCCCCAGGGCTTGAGGGTAACCCTGTGACAAAATCCATGGTAACCTGCTGCCAGGCGCGCTCGGGCGGTGGAATCGGCTGCAACTGGCCCGCCTTTCTTTTTCTTCATCACCTGACACGTACGACAGGATCCCACGTGGTGCTGTACATCGGACACCATCTCCGGTCAGTAGTAATACCGATGCAGTTGCTGTCGCATTTTTCTACCCCGAAATGACCCTAGGTGATCCTATCGTGTGCCTCCTGCAGCAGTAGTTCCCCAAGTAGTGAGTACACGGGTACCCAGATGCGGTAGGTGCCTGTTTGTATGTAAAAGACGCCCTTTGCTTCTGACAATTGCTGTAAATTTCCGGTTGTGAAAAACGGGTTGGTGTTGTGTCCATGGATGAATAGGCATGGTTGGTTGGGCGAGTAGGATGGCGTGAAGTTGGGCAGTGGGGCGGGTGAGTGTGTCGGCGATATTCGATGCTCCTTTTTGTAGGTGACTGTGTAGTGGAAGTTTGACTCCAGGTAGTCTAACCAGCGAATCTGTCGCGGATTTGGTTGGATGCGAAGGTACTGTAGTGATCGATGATCTGTCCGTACTGTCACGTCGGCTCCTGCTAGGTAGCATCGCCACACTTTGAACGCGTGCACGATCACCAGCATCTCGCGGTCGTATGTCGGGCAGTTGCGCTTGGGTGGGTGAAGTTTGCGGGACTCATACACGATTGGCTGAAGGCCATTTCCGAAGTCCTACAACAGTACTACTCCCACGGTGATGTCGCTTGTGTCAGTGGCCAGCTCGAACGGGCGGGGTGGGTCGGCGATGTGCAGTACGGGCGGCGAGCACAAAATTTCCTTGAGGGCCAAGAAGGCGGCTTGTTCTTTCTCCCCCCACGTGTACTCAACCCCCTTCCATAGCAGATCTGTCAGCGGGGCAGTCAGCTTCGCCATGTCGGGGACGAACCGGCGCACGTAGTTGACAAACCCCAGAAAACTCCGCAGCTCAATTAAATGCCCTAAGAACTCCAATCTGTCCTGTAGGAATTCACAAAGAAAGGCTTTGGTCAGTACTCACTCGGTATTTGGCTTTGATGTCTTGAAGGTGTTGTGCTCCGTCCGTGCTGTAAATCAGTATGTCGTCTGAAAACACGATGTCGCACTTATCTAAAAGCGGACGGAAGGCTTTTCTTCATCGTCATTTGGCTGCGGGGGCGTTGGTCAGTCCGAAAGATATGACCGTGTATTCGAATGATCCCGTAGCGTGTTCGGAAGGCTGTTTTCGGGCAGTCGGGTGGGTTGACCCTGATCTGGTGGTAACCTCCTCGAAGGTCTATTTTCGAGAAAACCCGGGCTGGCGTAGTTGGTCGATCAGTTTGTCGGCTCGTGGGATGGGGTAACAGGACTTGATGGTAACTAGGTTCAGTGCGCAGTAATCAATGCACATGCAAAAACCCTCGTCTTTCTTCAGAGTGAACAGTATTGGTGCGAGCGAATGAACTCTTTCTCAAGCATGCAATCCAGCTGCTTCCGTAGTTCGTCCAGTTTGGGTTGCGTCTATCGCAATTGTCACTGTATTGTCGGGTGTGCCCCTGATTCTAGTTCTATTCCGTGGTCGTGCAGTCGCTGAGGTAGCAGTCCTGTCGGTAGGTCGTCCGGGAAAATTCAAGTGTACTGCTTCAATAGCCAGGTCATCCGGTACGTCGGCGAGCAGTTTCTGCCCTTGTCTACTGCCTCGGCTTCCCGAATGTCCACCGCATACACGTCAGCTCTGCCGCTACGATGCGTTTCATCATGATCGCGTTGGCACGCGCCAACGAAGACTCAGGCAAACCCCAACAAGGTAAGGCGATGTTGTTAACGTTCACTCGCACGGTGTAGACACCTGTCATTCAGTCGATTCACAGATTGTGTTGTCGCAACCAATTACAGCTGAGTAAGATATCGGTCCCGTCGAGGGTCGTTGTGAGCATTTCCTGGCTACTGTAAATGTGAAGTTATCCCTGCATCGATCCAAACTCAGTCCGTGCGTTCCCGTATCGCCAGTGGCGTGCAGTCAACCAGTCTTGCACCAATCTCAGGTAAACACCTGTCCAGTAGCAATTTCAGTTTCCGTGCTGTAGCGATATTGATCAGGCTGTGGCTGGCTCCTCTGTCTATGAAGATCTTAACTAAGTCCATCCCAATCTTCCCACTAAGCAGTATGGGGCTATCTACCGCGGTACCCTCCTTATTCGGCCGGGTATGGTCGTTTGCATGAACCGGCACAATCACTCGGTGAGGGTCGGTTGGGTCGGGCGAGCGGCGTGACCTGTCAGTAGAGGGCCCGTCTGCTACTGACTCCCAGCGTTTCCCTGCTGCTTGGTCTGTTTCTGCTGCTCAGCTTCCCCCTTTCCCTCAGAGTTTTTCAGGCATTCGCTTTTGCGGTGTCCCGGCCTGTTGCACGCGAAGCAACGCCCTTTGAACGGTGCAGCAGCAGTGTTCACTGCGATAGCATGTATCATGGCGTGCTCGTTCATCCCCAATTGCTGTTGTTGCTGTAGGACCCCGGTCTCGGTCGGCGTAGAAAATCTAATTTCTCCATCATAGCAAGAATCTCCTGAGATTCGGTGACGTTGCGGAGCTAAAATTCCTGGGCAATCTCTGGCTTCAGGCCACGGATGTTGCGGTCGATGCGCTCGCCTTCGTCCATGTAGCCCACCTGCTCATACAACGCCAGAAACCCGCTGGTGTAGTCCTGGATGGAATCGAGCTGGTGCCAAGTGCGGAAATCTGACGCGCCGCGATCGAAGCCTCTATTTACTCAAATCTCGTATGCAGACATACGCACCACGCGTCCCACGTGCAATACTGGGGCACTTCTACGAAATACGACGGCGCCCAGGGTCCGGTTTGTCCTTCCCGTGTCGGTAGAGTCGTGTAGTCCATTGGCTTTCTGACGATGACGCACCACCAATCCATGGCGGGTCCTTGCAGCAGCGACACGGCATAGCGAATCTTCGGCGTATCCTCCGAGACGTAGTTCGTGTCCGAAAAAACGTTCATGGTGAATAACCACATCTGAATGGTATGGCCACCCCATTGACTCGGGTCAAAGCAATGTGGACGCTGCGGCTTTAGCGGCATCGGCGACGGCAGTGCCGACTCGCCGATCGGCACTGAAATCATAACGCGAGGTTGGCTTTGGGTTGCATTCGTCGCTTCGGGGTGTGTCGCGCCGTGGTCGTCGTCTCCGTCGTTGCGGGCGACGCCATCACTAGCCGCGCTCGTGGGTTGCCCCACACTTCCGTGTTGTGATGCCTATCGTGCGGGTTGTCCCTGTGTGCCTGGTGCTTGCGGGCGTGCTTGTTGTGCTCGTGCGACGTCGTTCTGCAGGGACGTTTGTTGTGCGCTCAGCGCCGTAATTTCTTCGGTGCTTTCGTGCAGCTGCTGCAGCAGTTGGTTAAGGCGCTCCTGCGTAAGCGTCGTGACGTCGATGTGCTCGGTCATTCCGAAGGGCGTCGTGGCTGCACGCATTGACGAGAGAACGCGAAGACATTGGCTCCTAGGGGCTAAGGGGCGTGTGTCCCTTCGAGCAAAAATCAAAAGTTGATTTTTTGGGTGCGGAGATGCGCGGTTTGAAGGAAAGTGGCTCTAATAACCAAGTGTTACATGCGCAATGGAACGAGAGAGCGAGGATTGCACTAGGTGCCAAACGAGTACAAAGTACCGTATGAGCGAAGGCATAAGCGAATACTTATACGCGAAACTTGCTAACGGTAACGCGGTGCGTGCGAGCTAGCTAGTGCTACGCTGGTATTGAGGTTCGGGCTAATCCCGAAGCATAGGCCGACTTGGCTGGGCCAGCAATGCATGGGTTGGTGAAACAAATCGCGCGATATTGGCTAAGCCCCGTTAGCAGTAACGGGCGAACAACGGCAGCTGCTGTACAAGATGTTGACCGTAGCGGGTAACGAATGTCGAGAAATATCCTTACACTTGGTTTTGGTAAACTTGAGGCTATTGTCCACTCCAACCCCGCATGTACGGTACCGTAACCGTACAGCCCCCATGAAGCATGAATAAAAAGCCACATGTTGTATACCACCCCAATAAGATAGGTACATTGGCAATTCGCGCAGCACGCAGTGCACACATATTTGCTAAGCCCTACCTGCTTCACATACCGAATTACTGCCCCATATACAAGAACAGGCCTACTATTCTAAACCTTAACACATGATTTTCCAGCATAGCACATCGGTTCTCCCATAAAACTCATCCTACTCATCATCACTCTCCCCCCAGCCTCCGCCACAGCCCACCTCATAGTCACTGTCCAAGGCATACGCATGCTCAATATCACTCTCTTCACCCCCACTCTCCTCGTCATCTGGTGCTTCTGTCAAGAGAGAAACGGGAATGGCTCAATTGGGTCAAGGATGGGGGTACAAGCAAGAGTGTCGAGGTGAATTGTGTACCCCCTATGGCAAGCCCCTATATAGACAAGATAACGTTAAACACATAAGTTTGACGGAGCACCTCCTACCAGCCAAAAAGAACATTCTCGCTGTAGGTGCTGCTCGTGGCGCTCCCTCCCCGCACTCCCCTCTTTGAGGGGTGCTCCCCCTCCCCTCTTACCCCCTCTCACGCCTCTGTTGTTGCTGCTGTCGACTTCCTTGGTGCTGAGAAGGTCGCAGCTGCTTCCGCTCCTAGTGGGAAGCGCAGCGGCCCCACAGGAGGCAGGGGCGGCAGGGGAGGTGGAGGTGGCGGTGGAGGGGGCGGTGGTGGCGGCGGCGGGGGAGGTGGAGGTGGTGGGGGTGGTCGTGGGGATGGGGGTGGTCGTGGGGGTGGGGGTGGTGGTGGGGGCGGCGGTGGTGCTGGGAGCAGTGGCGGTGGCAGCGGCGGTAGTGCGGGAGGGGGGAGTGGTGGTGGCGGCAGTGGTGGGGGATAGGGTGGAACGGGCCAGACTGGGGGCTCCAGTGGTGGCCAGGGGCAGCAGCAGCAGAAGCAGCCACAGCAGCAGTAGCAGCAGCAGCAGCAGCAGCAGCAGCAGCAGCAGCAGCAGCAGCAGCAGCAGCAGCAGCAGCAGCAGCAGCAGCAGCAGCAGCAGCAGCAGCAGCAGCAGCAGCAGCAGCAGCCGCAGCAGCAGCAGCCAGCAGCAGCAGCAGCAGCAGCAGCAGCAGCAGCAGCAGCAGCAGCAGCAGCAGCAGCAGTCGCAGCAGCAGCAGCAGCATCGTAAGCAACAGACCCCCACTTCTCAGCAGCTTCATGACTGGTATGCCGGGCGTGGGGCGTCTGGGGGTCCTGGTCGCTGCCCCTATATCATTCGCGCAGGTCCCCGCGCTGGTCGCCCATACAACGTCCTTCACACTGAGTACCGCTGCTTCGCTCGGCTTAGCGACGCCTGGCGCGCCAAGTTTCCTGATGCTACTGAGTTCCCCAACTGGGCAGATCTGCTTTAGGCTTTGATCTTGACTATGATGCGATTCTTGCTGCCATGTATGCATTGACTGTTAGTGCTGAGGGTGACTGCTACTTGTGTGTCCCGCCTGACCCAGGTATAGAGACTGCAGCCCTAGGTGCTAGTGAGTCTGCCCTCTCTGGTACTGCGTCAGCTCAGGCCTTGCACACGTTTACACTTGACTCTGGTGCTTCTCATTGTTTCTTTCGCGAAAGTATCACCGTCACCCCCCTCCCTGCACCTGTCCCTGTCTCACTGGCTGACCCCTCTGGGGGCCCAGTGCTTGCACGAGCCACGACTGTGCTTCCGTGCCCGGCGGTCCCGTCTGGTGAGCTGTCAGGTCTCCACGTTCCCTCGTTCTCTACGAACCTGGTGAGCAACGCCGTCCTTCAGGATCACTGGGTTGACACCTGGACTCCTGGAGGACAGCGTGTGGCGATCCTCACGTGCTCCAAGACTGGCCGCCACCTGGCCACGTTCACTCGTGGGCTTGGGTCCAGTCTGTACACCCTCACCACTGTTTCACGCTACACCCCTTTGTCTCCTCAGCTGTATGCGTCTGCTCAGGTAGCTACCCAGTGTGAGTGTCGCCGCCTGTCGCACGACACTCTCCTGTGGCACCACCGCCTTGGTCACCCCTCCCTGCCTCGCCTTCGTGGCATGCACTCTCGCTCCCTGGTCTCTGGTCTTCCCAGGTCTCTACCTGCCCTCCCTCCCTCGCCTGCGCCGCCCTGCATTCCTTGCGTTGAGGGGCGGCAGCGCGCCGCTCCTCACTCCTCCTCGTTCCCTCCCACAGAGGCTCCGCTGCAGACTCTCCACATGGACGTGTGGGGCCCAGCCCGCGTCCAGGGGCAGGGCCGCGAGCGGTACTTCCTACTGGTTGTCGACGACTACACGCGTTACACCACGGTCTTCCCCTTGCAGCGCAAGGGGGACGTCCCTGATGTTTTGATCCCTTGGATCCGCGCTGTTTGTCTCCAGCTCCGCGAGCGGTTCCGGTCGGACTTTCCTGTCCTGCGTCTGCACTCTGATAGAGGTGGTGAGTTCACCTCCGACCTCTTGCGAGCCTTCTGTGCGGAGCACGGCATCCGCCAGTCGTTCACGCTTCCGACCTCTCCGCGGCAGAATGGGGTTGCTGAGCGCCGCATTGGCTTAGTCATGGAGGTCGCTCGTACCTCCATGATCCATGCGGCGGCTCCCCATTTTCTGTGGTCGTTTGCGGTCCGGTACGCGGCGCATCAGCTCAACCTCTGGCCCCGAGTCTCCTTGCCAGAGACCTCGCCCACACTGCTGTGGATGGGGGAGGTTGGCGATGCGTCGCGTTTCCGGGTCTGGGGTGCTCGTGCCTTTGTCCGCAATCTCATCGCGGACAAGCTCTCTGCTTGCGCCATTCCCTGCGTCTTCCTTGGTTTTCCTACTGACGCGCCTGGCTGGCAGTTTTACGACCCCACCTCGCGCCGTGTCTTTGCGTCTCAGGACATCACTTTTGAAGAGTACGTCCCCTTTTACCGTCTCTTTCCCTACCGCACTGCCCCTCGCCCCCCCCCCCCCCGCCGCTCTTTCTCGCTCCAGGTCCTCCCCAGGTAGACCCCCTCCTCACGTCAGGTCCTGCTCCTTCAGGTTTTTCTCAGGTAGACCCTACTGGCCTGCGACTGTTGAGGTCACTGTTGACTCCGGTTCTGGTGGGGGTGGTCCTGCTGGGGGTGCTGGGCCTGGGGGTGCGGAGCCTGGGGGTGTTGAGCCTGCAGGTGCGGAGCCTGCGCGGGAGGAGCCTGGGGGTGCTGGACCTTGGGGTGTGGAGCCTGAGCGTGCAGAGCCTGGGGGTGCTGAGCCTGGGACTGCAGAGTCTGGGGGTGCTGAGCCTGAGCGTGAGGAGACTGGAGGTACTGCGCCTGGGGGTGCTGCGTCTGAGGGTGCTGAGCCTGAGCGTGCGGAGCCTGGGGGTGCTGAGTCTGGGGGTGCGGCGCCTGAGGGTACTGAGACTGCTGGTGCGCGGTCTCCTTGGAGTGGCCGCATTCGTCAATGTAAGCCTCTCACCTCACAGCAGCTGCACGAGTGGTCGCGCTGCTGGAGCTCGGGGCTCTGCCGCTGGAGGTGCTTCTGCTGACGTCGCTGGAGCTAGGAGTGGTGCTGGTACTTTGTCTACTGGAGGTGCTGGAGTCGCTGGTCCTGGAGGTGCTCGTCCTGGAGGTACTGGAGCTGCTGGGATTGGAGGTGCTATGTCTGGGAGTGCTTCTGCTGGAGACACTGCGTGTGGAGACCCTGGGACTGGAGGTGCCGGTTTTGGGGGTGCTGCTGCTGGTGGAGCTGGTCCTTGAGGTGCTGGCGCTGGGGGTGCTGGAGCTGCTGGAGGTGCTGGAGCTGCTGGTGCTGGTGGCACTGCACCGACGCGACTGTTCTTCGCTCCGGCGTATCCGTCGTCTCAGCCACCGCCTGACTCTGTGCTTCGCCAGGTTCTTACTCTTCCGTCGTCTACTGGTCTTCCGTTACAGCCTGGCTCACCGCTGCCTGCTCCTTCTCCTTACACTGAGCAGACAGGAGGTCTTGCTGAGCGTCGTAAGCATGCGTCGCGTCCTGTCTCGCCTGTTCGCTCTGGTCGCACTGGTCGTACTGGTCGTCGTGTTCCTCGTGAGCGTCCGCCGGCTGTCCCCGGCACGCGCCTCCTAGCCCTTCGTCCTTCCTCTGCTCCGCAGCGTGTTCCTCTGCCGTCTCCCCCTGCGTCCTCTCTGCCTGACGTTCCGGACCCTGAGTCTGACCAGTTTCGTGCTGCACACCCTACTGTCACGCGTCTGTTAGCCACTATTGTCACTGACCCGTCGTTTGAGCCTGCTGCTGTGTTTGCATTGGTCGCTGAGCAAATTGACTATGCTGGTGCTTGTCGTCTAGACTACGCTGCCAGTCTTGTTGCTGAGTCTGAGTCTGTCTATCCTCCGTCCGTCGGGGGTGAGTGTGCTCTTGGCACGGACGTCCTTGAGGACAGACAGGAGGACCTTGAGTGTCTTGTGGCCGCTGCGCCTCATCTTGTGGCCATGCTGCTTGCCCCAAAGGGAGTAAGACCCGGATGCACCAGACATCCCTACCCCGCGCTCTTACGCTAAGGCGATCGCGGGTGAGTACTCCTCTCAGTGGCAGACAGCCATGGACGTAGAGATGGCATCCTGGAAGTCCACGGGCACTTACGTCGACGAGGTTCCCCTTCCTGGGGCGAACATCGTCGATGGCATGTGGATTTTCAGGGTGAAGCGGCTGCCGGGTTCTCCACCTGTCTTCAAGGCTCGTTACGTTGCTAGAGGCTTCAGTCAGCGAGAGGGAGTTGATTTCTTCCAGACCTTCTCCCCCACCGCGAAGATGGCTACTCTTTGGTTGCTGCTCCACGCTGCCGCTCAACGTGACTACGAGCTTCACTCTCTGGACTTTAGCACAGCCTTCTTATAGGGCAGCCTGCACGAGGAGATCTGGCTGCGCCGCCCACCTGGCTTCACTGGGTCATTTCCTCCTGGTACCCAGTGGAGCCTCCGGCGACCAGTCTACGGTCTCCGCCAGGCGCCTCGTGAGTGGCACGACACACTGAGGACGACACTTGCGGCGCTTGGGTTGCTCTTTCGACAGCTGACCCGTCGCATTCCGCGCACCGACACTTCGCTGCCGCCGTTTTACATCCTCGTGTACGTCGACGACTTGGTTTTTGCTACTGCTGACAGTTAGGCTCTCGCTCAGGTGAAGTCGGAGCTGTAGAAGAGACACGTGCACAGACCTTGGTGAATTGCGCAGTTACCTTGGCTTGCAGATCACCCGAAACCGAGCACGGCGCACCATCACACTGACTCAGTCACACATGGTGCAGCAGGTCCTTCAGCGCTTCAGCTTCACCTGGTCCTCGCCACAGTCCACTCCTCTGGCTACAGGTCACTCGCTCTCAGCTCCACCTTCGGACGAGTCCGTAGAGCTGAGTGGTCCTTACCCAGAGCTAGTGGGCTGCCTCATGTACCTGATGACCTGCACTCGTCCTGACCTTGCGTACCCTCTTGGCCTTTTGGCTCGCTATGTGGCTCCTGGTCGGCACCGAAAGGTGCACATGGTTGCTGCGAAAAGGCTACTACGCTACTTGTGCAGTACATCGGGCATGGGGCTCGTGCTTGGAGGGCGGAGTGAGGTTGTACTCGACAGGCACTCAGACGCTTCTTGAATTGACGACCTGGCTACGCAGCGGTCGTTACAGGGTTACACCTTCAGCCTTGGCTCTGGCTCTGTTTCTTGGCGGTCTACTCGCTCTTCTTCTGTTCTCGGCTCCAGTTGTGAGGCTGAGATCTGCGCCACAGCCATGGCTGCACAGGAGTTACGCTGGCTCACCTACCTGCTGACTGACTTGGGAGAGAGGCCTCGTTCTCCTCCAGTGCTGTACGTCGACAACAAGGCCGCCATTGCCTTGTGTCAGGAGCACAGACTGGAGCACAGAACGAAGCACATCGCTCTGCGTTACTTCCTAGCTCGAGAGTTGCAGCAGTGTGGTCAGCTTCGTCTTGCTCACGTGGCCACCCGGGCCAACACTGCTAATATATTCACCAAGGCACTTCCGTCTGGTGATCATCAGCGCTTTTGTACTTAGGCCTCGTGCCTATGTTTCCGCACTTGTTGTAGTCTTTCCTTGTGCCGTGATCTATATATATATATATATATATATATATATATATATATATATATACCTGCATGCTTGCTCTTGTTAGGTAGCGATCACTGTGATGCTGCTGTTGCATATATACCTCTGCATGTGAACTAGCACTGTGGCGATTTGCTTGTGCTCAGTGTGTGTGGTGACGTTGTGATCCACCCTGAGCTTGCTTTGCCTTTCTTGACTGGTCTTGTGACCCCTTGCTCTCCCCTACTTTGCCTATGGGAGTGGGTCAAATTATATGTACATAATATATGTTTAGGCTGTAGTGGGGTAGCCAATATGGGGTACAACCCCATTAGGGTTTCATATTTGTACCAAACCCTGATCTAGTCATTTCATTCCTGTCTCTAGTTTCTTACACTGGCGACTATCTCTGGAAAACAATATTCTCTGCCAGTTGGTTGCTGATGGCTTCGGCTAATCAGTGGCACCAGGCCCTCAGATTGGTTTCAGGGTATGCTGATGGATCAGCGTGCCCTGCCCAAATTAGTGACCAAATCAGCGTTGGGGGTCAAGTTTATGCTGATTTTGTCAGGGTAAAATTTCATTGCTTAATGATTCATCATTTCGAGAACTTAAATTGCACTCCCTGGGCAGCGCTAATAGCGTAGCTGTCTAAGGTTTCGGCCTGTAACCGGAAAGGTCACGAGTTTGAAGCCCGTATGTGACACGTCCACTTGTATGTGTCAATGATTCTGGACTTAAAGCCCCATGTACGCGCACCCCATCCCTGTACCCGATACATTTTGCTATGCCCGAATCAGTGTGACTCGGTACACTGTACTGAAGCTTCAGTGTTACTGGTACACCTACACACAAATTCGTCAGGGTAGTCCTACACTTCAAACTGAAAAATCAGTGCAAACATAAAGAATATACTGAAATTTCAGGGAAAACGAAAATCACAGCTACAAAATCAGCCTAATCAGCGTGTTTTACGCTGATATCTGACGGCCTGAGTGGCACCGTACTCAACCGCTCGTTTTTCTAGAACCGTTCCCGCCAGAGACTCCTACGTTACACCATACAATACTTGTGTGAAGGATGGCGGTGCACGCGCACAATGATGACCTGCAACGTCTCGATTGTGCGAGGATCACCTACCGAACTTCACGAGCCAAAGTGATGGAAACGTACCCGTTTGTGGATACGAATCGACCAGTAATTGTCAAATGTTGCTCTGCAACAAGGAGTTCTGTTTAGCAGATATGCACAGAGTGTAGTGAAGTACCTATTTGTTATATTCTTACAAGGGGGGAAATGCATGTGCAACACTTTTGTACGTACACAAACATGAACACAGTTCTAAACAAATATAAGTCAAATCAGTGTAAAATATCCAATATCGGGTCCGTCTATCCACCACCAAGCTGTCACTCTGGTCTGGTGAGACCATGAAGCGATGATTGAGCATGCAGTGCTGAGAAGAACGGGGGCTGCATGGGCGCTTTCAGTGAATCATTAGGCGCATTCTGGCGGACCGAACAGATGGGAGGTAGTCAATCCACCACCACTCTGTCACCCTCCCCACCTCAATCAGCAAGGGCTCTTTCAGCTTTGGCAGCCGGCGGAGTGACCCGGGCAGAGAGTTCAGCTCAGGTAGATAGTACAGCTCCAGCGTTTCGAGGTGTTTTAGCTGCCCGAGTGACTCGGGCAGCACAGATAACTTGTCCATGTGTTGGAGCTTCAGGACCCTGAGGTTTTTCAGCTGTCCAAGGGACTCTGGCAGGCTGGAGAGGCCGTGCATGTGGGTGAGGGTGAGGGAAGAGAGGGCAGAAAGAGTGGAGAGGGAATCAGGGAGAGAGGTGATTTGCCAGCATCTACAAAGTGATAGGCTGGTGAGAGACGCCAGGCCCCACGGCTGCTGTGCGCTGCGCTGCTCCTCGTCATGCTGCGACTGTGGCTGTAACTGTGGCTCCGACTGAGGCTGCGGCTGAGGCTGTGCCTGTGGGTCGCTGGACGTGTTGACCATGCTGCCAGCACTTGCTGGGCCGGCAGCAGTGGCTGTAGGAGCGACAGTGGCAGAAGCAGGAGTAGGGTCAAGAGGAGGGCGAGGCGCAAGGTCAGGAGTGGCAGCAAGGGAGGCGGTCACACTCAATGCGGGATCCGGAGCGAACAATGGGTCTAGGGACTCGACGCTACGGCAGAAGGTGATTTCGAGGTCTTGCAGGCGCGTCAGCATGGGCAGCTGGGGAGGCAGCTGCTTCAGTTCTCTGCACTCGCGCAGGTACAGCTTCTCCAGGCTGTGCCTCGCACTCCCCGTGCACAGGCTTTCCGGCAGCTGCCGCATGCCCACCTGGTTGATTTCCAGCGATCTCAATCGCTGTAGCTCTCCCATGCTCTCGGGCAGACACCGAAGGTAGGGAAGGTCCTGAAGTTTAAGGGTTTCAAGCTGTACGAGGGCTCCAAGATTATCCGGGAGGGAGTCGATTTCAGGGCATGAGAGAGAAAGCGCCTTCAATCGCAGCATCGCCCCCATCACATGCTCGGGCACGCGCGTCAAACACTTGGAGTGCAGCGACAAGGAACGAAGGCGGGTGAGGTGCTGGAAGGAATCCGGGATCCACTCTAACCTCTCCATTTCGATCCCTAGGGTTTGCAGATGCGGTAAGCGACCAATGGAGGTGGGGAGGTCAGAGAGAGAAGGGTTGGCGAAGGTCAAGCTTTGGAGGTTGGTGAGGCTGCCGATGGAATCGGGGAGACCTTGGAACGCCGACCCTGCTGCCACGCGCAGCTCCTGCAGCCGCTGCAGCGCGGCGACGCTCTCAGGCGGCGCGATGAGATTCTCGAGATGATCCTCGCCGTAAAAGCGGGTGTGGCGGCAGAGGTGGAGAGTTCTGAGGTCGGAGAGGAGAGTGACGTTGGGGGGGAGGTGCGGGAGGGCGCGAAGGGTGAGGAGGCGGAGGTGGCGGAGCTTGCGGCAGCCGTGGAAGAGAGTCGAGAGGCCATTGCAAGTGACTTGCATGTCAAGCTGGTAGTGTATGGTCAGATGTGTCAGATTCGGACACGTGGCGCCCAGGCATTGGTAGAGAGCATCGCCGTTCGGGTCCGTTTGCCCATCCGTAACGCGATGATACTGAAGCTCGAGGTGCGTGAGCGAGGAAAAGCCGCGAATCGCGTCTACGAGAACGGAGAATCGGATCTTGGATTTGATTGTGAGGTGCGCGAGCGAGAGCCGCGCTGCGGCGTACCATCGCTTGGAGACAAGCGCGTAATGGAAGGAGTCGCGCGTGAGCGACCGCAGCACGAGCGAGAGAAGGTAATCGTCGGATAGGACCTCCTCGATCGGCGACGGAGGAGAGGAAGGGGCCGAGTAGGCGGGGAAGAGGGGGAACGGGAGAATTGACATGGTACGATTTGTAGTATTGCCGCAAAAAAATGAATGCGTCGAGAAAACAAATGCAGCTTACGACTGCAGTGATCGCCAAGCAAGAAACGGTGGGGGAGGGAGGAGGAGGACGGGGAAGAATTTGCGTGCGGGGGGGTTTGATGGCGGGGGCAGCGCCGTGTGCCGTGTTGATTGAGGCTTGTGGCGTGGCGTGTCGTTCCAGCCAGACCGTGTGTGCGGCCCTGGGTGCTGCTGGGCTAAAACGGGTGATCAAGCGGAGCGGAGAGACTCGGCAAGGGAGAACCCCCTCCGCCAGCATTGCCCGAACCTCCGGCTGGTGTACCGGTTGCCCTTCTTGGGGGCGCGTGCTCGCTGCCCTCACTGCGGGAAGGCGGAGCCGCAAAGCCACTGCCTGCCCCGTCATCCAGCCAGTGGTGGGCGCCCTGGTGCGGGTGCTCCGCATGTTTTGTAGTCCGAACTCGGCTGGAAAGCGTGGGGTGCCCCCAGGGTACCCTTGGGGAACATCCGCAAGTTTTCGTAAAGACGCCCTCGGGTTACCTTTGCGCTGACGAAACCCCGACGAAGTGGTAATTCTCGCTGCTGGCTTTTCGGGAGAAAGAAGCATGCCAATCGGAAATGCGCTCAGTTCGTTGTAACCCAGGTGGAAAACCCCAGCTTTGGAGAGAGCTTCGGCCTGAGCCTCGGTTTCCCATCTGGTTCGAAGGCTGTAAAACGGAATTGCGTTATTGGGATATCCAGTTAGAACTTACAATCAAAAGAGTTGGTACCTCTTGCTGTTGGCACTTTGTGTATATTAGAGTTATTAATAATTACACTTAGAATACCATTGCTTAAACATAGAAACTATAGACCCAGTTGATAAGCACACCACCCCCAGAGGCAGCACCAACACCAGCTCCAGACCCAGGCTCTCCAGAAACCGAAGGGACACCCTCACCCCCAGACGCAGCACCCCCAGACTCCGCACCAGCACCCCCAGACTCCGCACGACCAGTACCAGCCCCCGGAAGACAAGAGTCCTCTGCAACCCGCGGCTCAGCTCCAACTCCAGCACCCCCAGAACCAGAGACCTGTACAGGGACAGTCGTAGGACCAACCTCTCGAGAGGGAGCACCTGTAGGAGGCGGCGAGGAAGACTGTGCAGAGGGAGGCTGTACAGGGGGGGCTACCGAAGGGGGAGGGCTAGCCTGAGACACACCAGACGGGGCTGGACCAGGGGGGGGAGGCTGTACCGGGGGAGCAGGCGGGGGAGCGGCGGTCAGGAAGAGAGGGGGGGGAGGGACCGGGAGACCTCGACTGGGGTACCTGACGTAGTAGGGGGTGGACTCCTCGAAACGGACGTCACGGGAGTCAAAGAACCGGTGAGAGGGAGGGTGGTAAAAGGTGAAGTCAGAGGAGTCCTCAGGGAAACCAAGGAAGACACAAGGAACGGCGCGAGGCGAGAGCTTGTCCGCGGAGGTGTCGCGGACAAGAGCCAAGCACCCCCAGACACGAAACCTCGACGCGACACCAGGGGACCCTGTCCAAAGACTGGTCGGTGAAGCCTCCGGCCGAGAGACGCGTGGCCAGAGGTTCAGCTGGTGCGCGGCGTACCTGACCGCGTATGGCCACAGGAAATGGGGGGCACGGGCGTGAGTCAAGGAGGTGCGGGCAATCTCCATGACCAGGCCTATGCGACGCTCAGCAACCCCATTCTGCTGTGGGGACTCCGGAAGCGTCCAGGACTGACGAATGCCCTGTTCGTGACAGAATCCAGCGAGAATGCCGGAGCGAAACTCGCCCCCGCGGTCGGAGTGGAGACAGCTGACACGACGACCACGAGTGTCCTGGGTGGTAAGCAACCACCTGATCAGCGTAGAAGTCACCTCAGACTTCCTCGCCAGGGGGAACACTGTGGTGTAGCGGGAGTAGTCGTCAACGACCACCAAAAAGAAACGCTCACGCTCAGGGCCAGAGAAAGAGTGGGGGGGGGCGCAGCGGCGACGCGCGCAGCGGCGGGCGACGACGGCGGGGCCGCAGCGAGGCGCGCAGGGGGCGGGCGACGGCGGCAGGCGCGGCGGCGACGAGCGCGGTCGCGAGCGACAGCGGCGGGCGCTGCGGGACGGGCGACTCGACGGGGGGAGAGGGCAGGAGCGACGGGACAGGGGGAGGGCGACGTGACGGGGGGAAAGGGGCGGGTGCGACGGGACAGGGGGAAGGCGACGTGACGGGGGGAAAGGGGCGGGTGCGACGGGACAGGGGGAGGGCGACGTGACGGGGGGAAAGGGGCGGGTGCGACGGGACAGGGGGAAGGCGACGTGACGGGGGGAAAGGGGCGGGTGCGACGGGACAGGGGGAAGGCGACACGACGGGGGGAAAGGGGGGGGGCGCGACGGGACAGGGGGAAGGCGACACGACGGGGGGAAAGCGCGGACGCGACGCGACGGGGGGAGCGCGACGCGACAGGGGGAAAGGGACGGGCGCGACTCGAGGGGGGGGGGAAGGCGACGCGAAGGGGGGGGGAGGCGGGCTACGCTACGAACGAGAGCGTGGCTCGGCGCTAGGCTCGGTAACAACGAGAAGGAGACGAACGAGAGCTAGGATCAGGCTCGGGTGGTACGAACGGAGAACGGCGGAACGGGATCCCACAGGATCCTAACCTAACTGATACCATGTCAGAATGAAGAATGGATGATGCATTGATGTTGGTTGGGGTACATATAGCTAACCCTAAGTTTTGTACCCCCTAAGACAAACCTCACTATAGGCTACAACATTTGACAAAGAAGCCCAGAACTGTAAGGCACACTTATAAATCCTAAACCCCGCTGAAAAATGTATACTGCCGCTTTAATCCAGGTCATCTTACGGTGTTTGATAAAATATGGTCTCGGGTCTGTACACTCCTGAACCCCAACACTACTTGCAAAACGCTGTCCCCTTAAACTACCACACACACAAATGTTTCACAGGGGTTGGCCTGTCGTCGTCAAATCCCCCCTCGACGCAGGCCAGCTGCTCACTTGTTCAACAACCACACCTGGTGCCGATCGAAGGACTGGACGACATACACAACCCGACGAAGGTAAGCAATAGGCACGACCACACATGCAACGGCATCTTCAACCTCCTCTAACTTCACACATTCCGTCAATTGGTCGACGCCACACTACTTCCGGGGCTTTATGTATGCCACCTCATGAAACGGGCCTCCCTGCCCATCCGTGGACCTCCTCGCATGCATGATAAGGACCAACTTGTCATACCGATGCTCAGTGTCCACCGCACCATACTCCACACATGAGAACGTGGGGGATTAGTGGTGTGAAGGTAATGCGCACACATAGACCGCCGAGGGCTCGCCCGTGCGCACATCCCGTGCCGGTAGTGCGACCGCCCGATGGACCTGCAAAAACACGCACAATTATTGGCAGTCATGAGATGTTTGCACTTGAGGATTGGACTTAAAGGTGGTATTCTAGGAGATGGGAAAGAGCGCTATGCATGGCTTGTGTATGCTCTGACCACATAAACCTCGCTCTGCACCTCTCTATCCTCACCCCGCTCTGTGCACCCCCCACCCTGTCATCACCCCACTCTCTCCTCACCCCACTCTGTCCTCACCCCACTCTGTCCTCACCCCACTCTGTCCTCACCCCACACTGACCTCACCCCACTCTGTCATCACCCCACTCTATCCTTCTTCCCACTCTATTCTCACCCCATTCTGTCCTTCTTCCCACTCTATCCTCACCCCACTCTGTCTGCACCACAAGTTATCTATACCCGCCTCTGTCTGCACATATCTCCATGTGCACATCTCTCCGTCCCCGTCTCCCTCGGCCCATCTCCATGCGTCCCCACCTCCCTCTGTTTGCACCTCTCTCTGTCGTCACCATTAGGTGGTATGCATCGAACACTGACTGCACCCCTCGAGATCCGAGCCACACTGTCCCCATCTCCCATTGTCCTCATCCCCCTCTGTCCCCATTTCCCTCTCTCCCCATCTCCCACTGTCTCCATCTCCCTCTGTCCCAATCTTCCTCGATTCGCACCTCTCTTTGTCCGCGCCTCCCTCTGTGTGCACATCGCTCTGTCTGTACATTCCTCTATCCCCATCTTCCTCTGTTCTCATCTCCTTGTGTCCCCATCCCCCTCTGTTCGCATCTCCCTTTTTCTGCACTGTGAGAGTACGACGGATTTGCTTTGAATTAGTTGCTTGATTATGCATTATCTAGCTTAGCATTAATTTGTTTTGCTTGCATTAGCTAGATTTCCTAAGTTCGTTGCTTTTTCTATATTATAGTTATAGGCACCGAACTAGGTTGAGTACACCTACTTCTAAGCTTTTCGGTTGCCACCGAATTGCCTTCTACCGAATTCAGGAAGGACCCGTTCGGGACGCTTCGCGACCCACGAAACCTTCTAGAAACGCCAGGGTTACTGCCTTTGTGTCGAGCCTATATATAGCCTCACCTTGTACCCAGGTGAGACATTTAATAGATTTTTTTTTCCTGAACCAGATCCTCACACGCACCCCCCACTGTCTGCACATCTCTCGCTCTCCACGATGTTCCTTGGCGGTGTTAATATAGCAGACAAAGCACACAATTCAAGCCGTGCCTATTACGCATCTGTAAAACTTCTAAAATAACATGTCATGGCATCTATCAGTGGGGTCGAACAGCACGAACGCCACATGGTGCAACTCTGCTGATCGTAATATGCAAAGCTCACCTATTCGTTATCTTGTTCCCGTCCACGTGGACGAAAGCTATGCGATTTGTCCGTTTGTTGGGTACAACTTTTCTGCTCCCGTTCAGATACGTATTCATCATGTTCCAATTTGAAACACACCGTATTGTTTGGTGTGATGTTAAAGGCGGATGGATGCTTGTTTATTGCTCGAATTTTTTGTTTCACGAAATCTCAATGAAGATGCACGCCTCCCAGCAGGCAAATAACGAGCAACAGAGTATGGGCGTCGAGGGAGCTCGTCGCTTTCCTCGTTGGAATCGAGG